GCGGCGATTCTGATAATTAATTTAGTATATCGTAATAGTTTATTAACTATGATAAAAGTCTGTTGTAATAACTCGAAGTTGACGCGCTAGTGTAAAGTGGCCGACTCGCTTGGGTGGCCGACTCGCTTGTGAACCACGTTATCAGCTGATAATCATTACTTTCGGAATTAAAAATCGGAGTTGTATGCTGCCAGGAATAAAGGTAAAGGAGTAGCCATTAGTGATTTTCCGTAGTGAAGAAGTATATTGCGTGATAGATTTCTAGTTGCACAGAAGGGGGAGGTAAATGGGATTGGCGAATCCATAGTTTCGTGTGTAAAATCGTGTACGTTGCTTTTTTTTCCATATTCATACAAGGACATAAGTATATAACTAAGGGTAAGGGTATCTAGAACAATAACAACGAAAAAAAAAGAGAATCATTAAAATCTCAAACAACCTGGAGTATGTACCCATATATAACAGGCTTGCGTCACAACAAAGCAAATGACTCAACGTTGAAAGTCACCACTATTTCTCATCCTAAAGCCGGTACTGATGCGCTCAATGGGGGCCTGTCTCTCCGCTCTATCAACACTGAGGCGCTGATTTAGACTCGTGGCGCCATCTAGGCCATTTAGGACGGTCATGCCGCCTTTGGCGCCGCTCCGGGCAGTAGTGCTGCGACTGGTAATGGGAAGCAAGGAGCCGCCGTCGTTCCACCTGTTCGCACGTGCACTACTGAGGTAGCTCTCGATACTGCGGCGTCCGTCGGGGCGGTAGGCTGGGCTACGATTACGGCTGCGGCTGAGGGCCTCCTCGATAGTACGGGTATCGAGCGCATCGCCATAGTCGAGTCTCTCGATGCCGGCATAAGGGTCTGTAAGCGTATCATTGTGCTCTACACGGGCGCGCTGGGCCTTCGTTTTTCGATCGCGGAATCTGCGTTTGACTTCGCGGAAGAAGTCGCCGATTGCGTCAAAAGAGAGGGCGATGGCTATGAAGGGGATGGAGATTGCGAGGCCGATGCCGAACATGTATTTGCCGACATAGGAAAAGGGGAGTGAGGGCTCGTTGCTGCCAGGCGAGTGGGGGAATTCTTGGATGTTGATGGTGAACAGGGCGGCGATAAAGGAGAGGGGAAGGAAGATGATTGTGACAATGGTGAAGACCATGATTGTCTGGCTTTGACGTGCAGTGCCTGCGGCTTGATCGCGAGCGAAACGCGCTTCGAAAGCGTTGGCGTGTTTCTGCTTCAGGTCGAGCAGGTCGGTGATTGAATCATAGATGCGCTTGGCTTGCCTGTTCATACGATCAAGATCTTTGAGGTGGATGTCAATTGTCTTGAGGAGATCCTTAGACCGCTTCTTTATATCCTGCTGACTTTTGTGCTCCTCTCGATAAATGTCTGTGATACTGGCTTCCATGTCAGGAAGTACGCTACGCTGATCTTCCAGTACTTTGGAAATCATGTTCAGTTCATCGCGAATATCCTTGATCTCAGCCAAAAGGTCTGTCTCGGCACCAATGTCCAGTAGCTTGTCGACAAATAGGGGAGCGTGGGCAGGTGATCGGTCGCTATCATCATAGTCGAATTCTTCCTCGCGGATCGGAGGGTCGGCCAAAGCGTGTGAATGGGAGTGATGCGGCACATGTCGCCGATTGTGCTCTCTTTGTCTTCCCTCTGCCTCAAGATGACGTGAGAAACGGTTGGGCCGACGGTGGTGTTGTAGCCATGCCGATGCTTGCGCAGAAGCTGTATTGAACTCTTTGAACAGAATTGTCTCCATCTCAGTAGCGTCGCCTATGCTGGATTCGAACATATCAAGAAACTGGTAGTCCTCGTCACCAGTACGGTGACGGTCAAAGACTCCACTGCACCTTCCAGAGATGATCATAGCCAGATCGTACACATTACGAACCGGATCTCTGGCCTTGTTGTTGATGTCTTCGATGATACCATCGAGAACATTGAGCGGGTCGTTCCTAGGTTGCTGCCATCGCTGAGGAAAAGCGGTCACAATCAAGTCCTTGCCTAATGTCCACATCCATAATTGATCAACCATGAAAATCTTCGGATCCACATGCTGAGGGTCATTCGACTTGCACTGATACCGGTAAACAACTTGATCACGATCACGAGACTGTGTGTCGATGTTGTGGTAGAAGAACTGATCTAATGTACGCCGTACATGCAGTGAAATTTGCGAAGAGGTCAGATGAGCTCGTAGTAGCATCTCATCGTACGTTTTTGCGCGTGGAGGGGGTGGCCTATTAGCTCGTCCATCACTTTTCTCGTAACCCTTGATGATCTGTGTTTTCCTAATCGCAGCCTGCATTTCCTGACGCCGGCGGTCAGACTCAAAGTGCAGATATGGCATAAAGACAAATATGTTGCCCTTCGCCACCGTCGTTGGGTCTTTACGTCCAGGACTGCCAGGTGATTTGAGGTGGCCGCTGAGAGTGAGAGAAGAGCTTGTATGAGTTCTTTTTGCGTAGTGTTCGGGTCCTCTGGTAGGTGTTTCTGTGCCGCCAGTCCGCTTGCCGGCCGGCTTCGCCCCGCCCCATTTTTGCGCCTTCTTCGTCTTCTCTTTTGTTTTTCCTTTTACTTCTTTATTACCCGCATGGCTCGGGCCCGTCCCGGCAGTCCAATCCGTTTGTTCTGTGCTGGCTGTACCTGTTCGTGCAGGTGTCTTGGGAAAGTGCGACGAGGTTGAGTCTTGCATGGCGACTGCTGGGTCAATAGTTAAGCCCAGACCATTATTAACGGTGATATGCGGAACCCCTGGGTCACCACCATCAGAAAGGTCTGATTCATCATGATTCTTTGGAGCACGTGGCGTGCTCTGGCACAATGGTCTCATGAAATGCGAGTGTACTTGTTGTCCACGGTGTTGGTGACTAAAGGACCGTTCCAGCGCCTTGAATCCCTCAACGTCGGTGGCTCCTTCCTCGATGAATGCTTTAGTCAGCAATGCCTCCACCCAGGCCATGTTGTTTGCTGGCAGGTGTATCCACCTGAAGTTTGTTCCTTTGGAATCTTTGGGCAGAACACTGACTGCAGGTTTCCTAGGGTTGATCGGATCGCGGCTGTACAACAACTCAAAGACTGTCTTGCGTGATACTCTGTTCTCGTTGTGAAAATTGCCAAAATCGACAATCGTGGCGTGGAATCCATTGGTAGCACCCAGCGCATCTTCGCTCAGCGCCTCAATCTGGTTGTGTGGTGCCAATCGGTTGATGATGTCTTTGCGTGCAGGCTTCTTACTCTGGGCGGCCCACAAGAATGGCGTAATACCAAAAGCATCCTTTGCAGCTCGCTTCACGTCGTTTCGCTCCAGAAGACAGTTGACTACGTCCAAATGTCCAGCTTGGGCTGCTACGTGCAAGGGAGTCTTTCCGTTCAAGAGCTTTGCATTGATGTTCGCTCCAACAGCCAACAGCATCCTCACTATCTTGACGTTTCCCTGCTCACAAGCATTGTGCAAAGGAGTCCAGGATCCGTCGCTCTTGACCATGATGTCCGCGCCATGCTTGATCAACAGCTCGATAATATCGTCTCTTCCATGTGCAATTGCGAGATGGAGCGCCGTCTTCTGCCTGATTTCCATTGCGTTGACGTTTGCTCTGGGTAGTCGCGGTCGCCTGAGTAGCAATTCGCACAACTCTTTTTTCCCCGTACTTGCTGCCCAGTGCAGTGGACTGCGCTTCTGGTCATCCTGACCGTCTGGTCCGTCAATGGCGATATTTTGTTTGAGAAGCTCGGCTATAACGTCGCGTCCCCAATTGCAGTGCTTGTCGGCTGCCAGATTATGCAACACATTGCGCCCAGTGCTGTCCTTGCGGTTGACATCTGCGCCACACCGCAGCAATTCATGCATGACGTGAAAGTGATTTTTCCAAGCCGCCATCATGAGCACCGTTCTCCCCTGCTTATCTTGTGCGTCGACGTTTCCCCCGAATTTCAACAGTAGTTGCACAATTCCGACGTGGTTCTTCTCAACTGCCTTGAACAAGGGCGACACCCTTCCTCCCGGCGCACCATCGGGTTTGGCACCACTTCTCAGCAGATACTCGGTAATGAATATGTTTCCGCGCTCGGCTGCACGCATCAACGCGATGCGCAAGAGGTGGTCGACGGGTTGCGCATTCGCTTTGGCCTGCTCGATGATGGCAATGGCATCGTCATGCTTTTGGTCCTCGACTGCCTTGAGAAGGCGTGGCTCGACACGGGCGTGCTGCGCGGACTCGCCGCCGTCGCTGGATCGAGATGGTGAGCGCCCCATGCTGGCTACATGCTCTGTTTCGTTTTGCGCTGTATCGTTTTGGCGGTGAGGGAGCAGTATTTGGGCGCAAGAGGCGTGCGAAAGTCGGGTTGGGACGAGAGGCGCGTCAAGGCCGATACGTGCAATTGCCTGAGTCGCCAAAAACCATGTCTAGTTTCGAGTCTTCTCCTATTCGGGCTGTACATGTACAGCTTGGACGTGTCTATGAAAGTGGGCGGCTGCCTTTAGCTGCAGGCCTGAACAGTGGCTAAGCTAATACCCCGGCCATGTTGTGCAGCCGCACACGTGACGATCAACGGCTGGTACATCGTCTTGAGTAATGGAGTGGAGAGAAGCCGGTTAGTATCCATTGAGACTTTCGTCATTGGGTGAGGTGCGCTGACTTGGGAAATGAAGAGAGATGTTGTGCCTGACTAGTAGCAGATCGCATCGAGTTTCGGGTATTGCGGGGAAGGGCCGCTGTCTGCACATTACGCGGACGTCACGTCGGGGCACTACCACAGTGCTTATTTCATCTGCCGATGATTTGGCATCTGCATTGTGCTTGACTCCACTCGAGTTGCTTCGCCAATACCTCGGAAACGGTATAGACACGAACCTGGCGTTATCCGTGTGGCTTATGCCAGCGGATGCACGCCTTCTCCGCACCTATAAACAGACATGAAGCCCGACGACTATATAACACGTTCGGCACCACCCTTGTTGTCGACACCCACACCTTCAACACCTACACAAGGGAGACTGAAGAGTTCAACACTCTTCTGGCGCATCATTGGCTTGATTACCAGCCTCATTCTTTTTACAATGTACATCAACAACACTACAATGGACATAGAGGACACGGAGATATCACCAAGCAACCATTCCATTTTCATTCCCTTTATCTTCGAGTTCAGCCCCCAACATGTCCCGCAAGTCATGTGTACCGTCGAGGGCGTTGATATCCACATGCCTGTAGACACTGGATCAACCGGGACTTTGATAGGAGCTCCAATACTACCCAACATACCATCGACCGCGGGCACGCCAGCACACCACTTCTTTACGAGCAGTAAGATCCTCTATGTTGGCCGACTGGTGGAGCTAGTCATGAACTTTACTGGTGAGAGTGGCTCATACGCGACTGCAAAGGTCCCTGTGCTCGTTGTTGACAAGAGCTGGAGATGCCCTTGGTATGATCCCCTGGTTGACCGGTTCGAGTGTCCAACAGGTCCACAGGGTGAGCAAGCCGTAGAACGGGACACATCGCAAATCACCTACATGGGCATTGGTTTCGGAAGAAACAGCCTAAAGGATGGTATGCCCTTTGCAACACCTCGCGTCAACCCGCTCTTAAACCTCTGCACCATTGATGGACAGTCTGTTCAGCGTGGGACGATGCACGCTGGATATATTGTATCACGTGAAGGTGTCCAAGTTGGTTTGACACCAACAGCAATCCGAGAGTTTGCTTTTACCCGGCTGGAGCCTGGTTTGACCTGGGCAGAGGATAGCAGGGACTGGGCGATGGCAAGCATGTGCTTCAGCGTCAATGGCGAGGGAAGGAATTGTGGTAATGTGCTTGTCGACACTGGCATAGCGCAGATGTATATCAGGACGGAGAAAGGCGTTTCGATGCCAACCATCGTCATTCCCAATCCCAACCCAAACGGTCATGCGAAGATGGTGAAGCGCGTGAAGCCAGGTACCAAGATCACCGTTGGCTTTCCATCCCTTGAGCAGCCAGCCATGACTTACTCGTTCACCGTTGGCGAGAAATCAGCCATTGAGCCCAATTATGTTTTCCCTCAGATACCCAATCACTTGCCCTATATCAACACCGGGAGAAACTTGTTGTTCCGCTATTCGATAGCCTTTGATGCGGTAGGAGGGCGATTCGGGTTTCGGTCGGTGGGCAACTCTGCCACGGCTTCTGTATTGTAGCCTGCGAATTGCGAATCAAGTAAAGGACCAAATTTGAACCCGCATGATTCAGTTCTTCTTCCCTCTGCTCTCTCTGGAAGCGTCGTTGGGCGACAAATGAATACCTAGCCCTTCACCTCTGCCTAATTCATATAGTCATTTGGCGGTGGTGGCGGGCCTCATGGGACTTCGAAACCCATCTCTCAGTTCCTTGTACTCTTCTACCGCTTTAACAACAATGCTATGCGCCTGTACGGTTGAGATGTCCGTGCCTGCAATTGTAATTGCGCCAACAACGCCTTCGACCCCCTTTACGAAAACTGGATATCCGCCTCCTTCGATGGTGTATTTGGACCATTCATCTCCACTCATGGCATGGTATTCGGCAAACTTTTTATAGTCATCGTCGAATTGGCAGCCTATGTACCATGTCGAGTGACCCCATCTGAGCACTGTGTTGCGTTTTCTCTCGACCCATTTCTCATGATCGGGCATTATGCCAGGGAGGCTTGGCGCATGGAAGAGGGTTTGGGTCGAGAGAGCTATGTGGATGAGGGCAGGGCACTCGGCGGTGCGGAGAGCGTTTCGAAGAATGTTTCCAATGACCCAGGCATGCTCGCACGTGAAGTGGTTGAAGGTGAAGCCCTTTTCCTCTTTTGCGAGTTCAGCTAGGTTGCGTGTAGGCAGGGGTAGTGCGCCGAGCATTTTGATAGAGGATTTGCGGATATGTTTTGTGGTGGTTGATTTTTTTGTAAGGAAATTATAGGCAGGGAGTCTTGACATATAACCAGAAATTGCGGATTATGTACCAATCGAAACAAAGAGATAGGAGACGACGGAGCGTGAAACATACGAGTCAAGCGGCCAACGGAAAGCAGTGCGTATAAAGTAACTACGCCGGCGGTCGGGTCGTTCCGCCATTTCAGCCCCAAGCTCCCCCACTCCTTGACACGTGCCTGGCGTGAGAACACTTGTCGGCCTCGCTGTCACCAACCAACGTTCACTCCCACTCTTGCTTTGTACACCGACATGAAACCTTGTGTATAGAGCTGCATTTTGTTGACAACACGAAAACTATGAAGCCGTATCCAGCATGATTGTCCGGGTCAGCCATCGGCCAGAACTTACAGCGTCTTTGGCTCGGGTTGTTTGTGCCGATTCGACTCGATTAGCCTCAAGAGAACCCACCCGTACGGCCGGAGCAATTCACCACTGTCAATACGGTCCTACTGACTGATGTGATAGGAATGACTGTGCGAAAAATTTGACTTCCAGATAAACTCTGGGGCCGTGTTATCATGCTTCCGTTCCCTCTTACCTTTTGCACAAGAACAAGCCGTTTCCTCTACTCTTTACAGACGTGCCTATCCCATCCCACCCTTACTGAATCTGTGCAGACGCGACCGTGATGGGCTTGTATACATTTATACACAAGGTTTCCTTCCGCCATACCGCCCGTTGGTTGTGCGCTGCCGAAGTCGCCTAGGAACAGATTATGCATGTGCTTCCAGAGCCTCTCCATCTTCCGGATAAGGGCCGAAACCGTTGGACCTAGCCATATATTCGTATATATATATATACATGCGAGTGTTATCGATAGCAGGGAGTCTGTCCTGGCTTCCGCTCTGAGAAGGGCAGACAAAGGCTCAAGCTAGACGACGCCAAGACGCTAATGGCCTCGATGGACAGGAACCGTGAAGACAGTGTTAATATCCAAGGCCAGGGCGACAAAAAGCCTCAGGCAAAGTCATGCAGGGCCTGAACCGAGGCAGGATTGTTACATTTGAGAGTTTGGTAGCATCAGCGACAGCCAATGGCATGGTATGTCATCGAGCTTGCACGGGCTTGGCATTGACATGTTCGCAGAAACCCTGTCTTGCCCGCTACCTCAGGCCCCAGGAAAATATTTTCGGTCACGCGATTCTCCGGGACTTTTGCCTGCACCACTCCGAAACCATAAAATCATGGCAATGGGAAGCCCGCCCAGTTCCCTTTTTGGTGGAGGCGGTGCCTGGTGCCTGTAGCGTGCTTGGTGAAGCAGGGAATGACGTTCGCACTAACAGTACTTGTGCCCCCAGCAGGCGAGATGGGCCATGTCCCCCGCGGACGCTGTCAGATCAGATATCTAGTAGATGCATGATGCATGCGGCATGGCGACGGAGGCACTGCTTGTGACGGCCATGGCCGCTGAACTAGGTTGCTACACAGGACCGTGGCCTCTCTGTTGCTGCCATAGGCGCATATTGACGGACAAAGGCGACGCCAGCCTGGCCCAACCCCGCGACCGAGACACCTGTGTATATGACTATACACATGAGGGCGCACACCTAGTGCGAGACATGCCGTGCTCGAATTAGTCGCCTTCACCATGACGTGCCTCGTCGAATCGCCGATCACGACCAATTCATCACTCGATCCATGTCATGCCAACATCGGTAGCGCATGGAAAAGAGGGAACATGGCAAGCGATGAGCTGGCCTAGACCGCATCGATTCCTGCAACTCGTGCACCCTGTCCCTCGGCCCTCTCCTCCGCGACTCAACCTCATAGTGTCTTGCTCGTCGTCTTGACAGACATGCCTTCGTAGGGTCATGTTGGCTGCCCTGCCCTGCTATGACGTCACGCGCATCTCCAGTCTCTGAACAAGCCTCGCTGCACCAGTTTCCTCCGCCTGAAATCTTACCCAACCCTTCGCCCGCGGAGGCGCCATGGAGAACCTTGACAAGCTATCTGCCACAGGCCTGCCCGTCTTCGACCTGAATGAAGAGAACCTATCCCACAAAGACTGGTGAGCACTCACCGCGGCCCCATTCGCTCCTTCATCGCGCGCCGTGGTTAACGCCCTCCAGGTCCAAATCTTCAATTGGCCCGCGCGAGTCGTGGCCAGCCTCCCTCAAATGTCTCGTCAACACATGCGTGCTGCCTATGCCCCACTGCTCGGCTGTTTTCTGGGGTAAAGACCTAACAGTTATACACAATCTCGCTTGGGAAACCGCGCGGGGTGGTCTCGATGGCCAGGCATCCAATGCCCACGACACCTACGAACATGAGGCGTTGGCGTCGCTGAAAACAGTGCTTAGAGGGCGGACGGTCAAGGTAGGTAAGCATCATACCGTAGCCTTGCAGTCGCCCCTTCTCACACTGACCCTTTCGCCTAGCCGCCAGGTATTTCCTAGCATCCCTGTCGGAAAACCGAGACCAGCAGCTCGTCCTTAGTACTATACTCGATGAAGATGGAACTCGTCAAGGCGTCTTGGCCCAACTGCTCGACAATCAAAGAACCGACCGTTACATGCCTATTGAAGGCTTGGACGAGCTTGCGCGGCAAAATCAAGGGCACCAGCTAAAGCAAACCAAGTCACAGCAGGCAGGGAGGGACTCCGAGCAGAAGAAATCCGACTCAAAGCAGGCCGACTCAATGCAGACAAACATGTTCCAGCGATTTGCAGAACTGCTGCCCAACGGCCTGGCAATCCTCGACAAGGATGCCGAGGCCGTGTTTGTCAATGACGGCTTCTTCAGGCTTACCACCAACAAGGGAAGTAACGAATTCCGTTCTTGGCCAGATAGCATACATCCAGACGACTACGAGGACGTCATGACAGCCTATCGCAATGCATTTGAGAGCCGAACAGAGTTGCAGATAGAATTTAGGTGTGACGTTGCCGAGCCCGTCCACACGGAGGGTGAGCAATGGAGAATGTTCTTGTTGAAGCCCTTGAGCGATGAGTCCGATGCTGGTTACATCAGCGCCATCATCGACATTACCGATATCAAGCAGGCCCAGCTGACCCAAGAGAAAGCTGCCAACGAGGCAAGAGAGCGTAAGGAACAGCAAGAAAGGTTCATAGACATGGTTTCGCACGAGATCCGCAATCCGCTCTCTGCCGTCCTCCATCTCGCTGAAGAAGTCAAGGAGGTGACGAAGGAGATTGGCGCTGGCCGCGATGAAATCCGCGATCAAATAGCCGATATTTTAGATGCCGCCGACACTATTCTACTATGCGTCTCGCACCAAAACACCCTAGTAGATGACATCTTGTCATTCTCTAAGCTAGATTCTATGATGCTATCTTTGGTTCCTCGTGGTGAGTCTCCAGCACAGTCATATTGCATCAATCACTGAACCCTCATAGAAACAAGGCCAAAGTGGGAATTCTCTCAAGCGCTCCGCGTCTTCCATTCCGAGTTCAAAGCTAAGAATATCGATTTCCATTACGCCATGGATGTTTCATTTGAAGAGCAGCAAGTAGACACTGTTGTTGCTGATCTCAACCGCATGAAGCAAGGTATGAAGTGTCGGGTCGTGTTCAGTATGGAGCTAACAGTTTTTAGTTCTGGTAAATCTGATCACTAATGCCATAAAGTTCACCTCGAGGAAGAAGGGCAAAAGAAACATAACTGTGTCCATGGGCGCATCAGTAAAACGACCCACGTCATATCCTCCCAACGTCGTTTACTTTAGCGAACAGAAAGAAGCATTTCATCTGGATTCGACCATGACATCAGAATGGGGCTCTGGAGATGCCATGTACTTAATGGTTGCCGTCAAGGATACTGGCATAGGCATTAGCAGAGAAGGCCAAGCCAAGTTGTTCGAGCGATTTAGGTATAAGCAGTTTTCTTCATCACCCCCAGTTTCGCCTTACTAAGCATCCACCAGGCAAGCAACACCTAAAACACAGGAAAACTACGGAGGCTCCGGTCTTGGACTGTTCATATCGCGCAAGTGTAAGCAAGCTACACCGCATGCCCAACTTTTCATTTACTAAGATCATTCAGTATGCACTCTACATGGCGGCGACATAGGCGTAAGCTCAAAAGAAGGGGAAGGATCGACATTTGGGTTCTTCTTCAAAGTGCGTCGTTCAGTTGGAGGAAGTGATCCGGGACGGCCGCCTATCCAATCCCGGAGCAATTCAGAAAAGTCGGAGAACGCTAGCTTGAAGCCGACTCGCCCCAGCTATAGCCGAAGCAACTCGACTCTCCAGCGTATTAAAGAGCAAACGAATGAGCGTCCGGAGGCGAAAACATTGTCTAGCCATTCTGGAGTAGACGCAGAAGAGATGAACCCCTCGCTCAAAGACCCGCCTGTGGAAGAGAGATCAGAGGCACACCCAGAATCGAGCGCAGATCGGCGTTACGACGAAACTGCATCGGCCGTCAAGGACATCTCGATAGAAAAACCGCACATTGAAAGGACATTGCCAGATCTTCGCAGAGGAGAGACATCAAGACAAGAAGAGGGCGCCCACGAAATATCGCGGTCACAAAGCGATCCACGCACTGAGGAAAATCACACTCTCCTTCTTGTAGAGGACAATTTGATCAACCAGAAAGTCCTTCGTCGTCAACTCCAGTCCCGAGGCTTCCAAGTCTTCACAGCAAACAACGGTCAGGAAGCCATTGATGCGGTTGCCGAGCGTGGCCTCCAGGCACAGAATGGTCCAGATGACAGAAACTATTTTGATGTTATTCTCATGGATCAGGAAATGCCCATCAAAGATGGCAACGCCGCAACCCAGGAAATTAGGCAGCTGCAAGAGGAAGGCAAGGCGGGATACAGTCATATCTTAGGCGTATCGGCGAACGTGAGAGAAGCACAAACGCAGAGCATGCGTGACGCTGGTATGGATGATGTCATCTCAAAGCCGTTCAAGGTGGACGATTTGGTGCGCAAGGTGCGATCACTTGTACTTGATGGCGGGGGCAGTGCAAGGCATGACAACAGACCAAACGGCCAGCAAAGTTCGCGTGAAAGCGGTAAAGAAAAGGGAGACGATGAAGTAAAAGAAGTTTTCAACCCTCCAGACGCGGAGAGGCAAGATCAAGATACAGATGGTGAAAGCGAGCGTGAGACGACAAACCGGGGTGGCTCACGGACTCGATCGCAAGCCGTCGTCAAGAAGGGAGGAAAAACAGACGATCAGAAGTCTTGATTGCTGCGGCCTTTACAAACAAAGAGAGCCCTAATGTTCCCAGTCTGTACGATTTATGTTGTTGCATTTGGTTATTCCTTGGTTGCAGAATCGCATTGCACGGTGTTCTTGACGGGTGATACACTGCTGAGCGGACTGAATGGAGAAATGACCTTTTCGAATGCGGGATGACTATTATGTGCCGTCCTAGCATGCTTATACCCAAATTCAACATTTACATATGTATATGCGACGTAGACTTGTCCAGTGATTTGTTGAGATGCATGCATTGCCTGCGCGAGTCATGCGGATGGTATCCGACGTCACCCCCACCTTTTCCTGAGATACAGTACTAACTCAAAAGTCTGTTCGCACTAGCGTCTGGGCGCACCAACACTACTTTTTTGCCCAATTTCAAC